TATATAGATTTAATTTATAAATATATATGTATTTATATATACATCCATACATTCATACATATATATATACGTATACACATACACATACATATATACACGTAAATATATACACAAACATATATATATATATATATATATATATATATTCGTATACATATATCCATACATACAAACATACATTTATAATCATGTATAGGTATTATAGAATATACATGTAAGCCAATATATTTGCAATACAATAATACACGTGTATAGCAAAGTAGGTCAATCGCGAGACTTCCCCCCTCGGTCCTTTCCATCCGTTAATTACCAACATCGGAATTAGTTTTCTGTGCAGAAGATATCTAAATTCAAAAAAGGGTGTGTAAAACGGAAGTTTTGTTTCAATATAGACATAGCATTGACGTAGCTTTTTATTTGTCTTTTTCGAAGCCAAGTATTTAGCTACTAGTGGTAGTTGAAATATTAAGAAAGAACTCAGACTTTCGCAAGCGAGGTCGTGCACCCTGAATAATTGAAATAGTGGGGCTAGAGAGAGTACTATAGTGAAACAGAGCCTTTAACTTTAAAGTATGAGGTACGTATGCATGTAAACCAGAAATTCCACTTGTGGCAGTGGAGTGAGTGGACTGTGGACAGTGACGTGAGTGGACTGTGGACAGTGAAGTGAGTGGACTGTGGACAGTGAAGTGAGTGGACTGGGGACAGTGGACAGTGATGGTATATACATCAAGCATTGTTCCATAAAATCAACAATCCAAATAAAAACTTTTTGTATTTTGTACCTCACACCAGTGACGCCACACAGCATATAAATAAACAAGCACTGTTTTTCGGATTAGAGTGCTTCCCCAGACTACAGACTTGAACGGTGAACCCCCAGGCCCCAGGGCCCAGAGACCAGAGTTGAGGAGCCGAGAGGCAGAGAAGGCCGGATAAAAATAGTCTGCTCGAACTTCGAAGTCTGAAGAGCCTCGAACTTTGTAGAAACAGGTCTCAGGAGTCAGGATTCACGGTCTCACGCACGGCCCACGGGAGTTGAAAGCTAACAAACGTTTTACGTTTAAATATAGCGTATAAAATTCAAACTGCACCGTTCACGTTTATGGTCAACGTTTACGCCTCTTTAGTCCTGTATGTTTTGAATAGGGTGCAATATTTAAGTTTTGTTTTTAAAAAGGTGCAATATAGCACAACTATTTTGACATATAGTCCGAAAGGTTGTAGAGTAGATATTTCTACCACTTGCTCCGGTTTCCCTCACTAATTCCTTTAAACGTTTCAATATTAAAACGTTTATTCGCTTAACATTCAACGTATACGCTTGGAAGTGCACACCTTGTTTATTTCGATGTTTTTGAAAGCGAGTGTCACTTTTGACATCATTTTGGCAACCATCAAAGCCATCCGTCATGTGATAACAAGGACGAGGTATGCCCAGTATGCATACAAACTATAACCAACTCTGTATGCCTATAACCAATTAGCCTTTAAAACATAACACAGGAACAAAACGAATTGCACTCCTTCACACAGTTCGTGGTCAACGCATTCACTCGCATTACACACTGAAATCATGGTGCTTTCTACAGCAATCACAAAGCTATTCGGCATCCGAGCTCCGATCATCCAGGTACGCCATTCTTAACACACGTACGTATACTTGCTTGATTTGTTTCCTTTAAAGGTGCTGAGAGTACAGTTTAATTTTGTGTCTTTGTATCACTACACGACAACACTAACAGCTGATATGGTCGCCGTTATTAGTTGTATCTGTTCGTACGATCCTTTCAATGGGATAATCTGCCATAAGGACCTTCTCTCCACATTGTACAATTAGTGTCCACCACTTTGCATCAGTAGATATAGCACTTCTGTATTGGTTGTGTATAATATATGGCCATTTTCAGTTTCATATTATTATACCCTTTCCATCACATTAGCAGATAGACCACTACTGTATAGACTCTAAATAAAGGAAGCTTCTACTATTTCTAAATATTCTCGCAGGTAGCGAGATGCAATGAGGATACACCATATATCGCATTTGCAGTGAGAATACACCTTTTATATATTTAAACCACATAGGTACATATAGAAAACATAGATATAGGTTTTTTTGATATATGTAGTAAACACCTTAAAAATAGGTCACATACCTTTGACAAACAGTGAAGTGGGCGTCAATATATGTGCAGTGTTAAATAGGTGTCAACACATACGCAAACCTAGCTGACGTCCCTGATATACCGCAACAGTAGGTTGGTAGGAGTCAACAGCTGAAAATGGTCACACTCACTGAAAGAGAGTTAAATGGGTGGGGATGTATATGATGTGTAAGCAGTCATTGGTCACGAACGGTCACGAAGAATTAAATACGTGACAAAACATATGAACATCGACATGATGTTGTGTATGTTTATATGTCGCTAGCCCATGCATATACATGAAGTATGAGCTGACTTTGGTCACAGAATGTGGTATTGGATCATACGAGAGCACAGGCTATATATTCTTATCGAGTGCGATGTGCTGAAATCGTTGCGGATGTACACCTAGTATTTATCATGTCTCAATCTGTGTATACCACGTGCCAGGCAGCTTGATAGAGGTGTAGTAGTGGTGAATACTCTTGTCACAAGTGAAGGGCTTATGACTCCGCACATACAATCAAGGCGCAGTTGTCAATAGTGACAGCTTTTCGCTTGATCTGCTGGTACTGTTCTGTTATAAACAGCGCATTGTGTACTTGATCGTTGCACATTGAGCCTATATTTAAAATAGGGCTAAATGTATTTTGTGCACCAAAATCCATGGCTCTTCACCGACATATGCACGATAATTTTCACTTCACGTACGCTGATGTGTAGCAAGTTGTACTCTTAAATATAACGCATCTGTAGGGTGGCATTCCCATTCTCCTTTGGAATGTCTACATCTGTATCAATATGCCTACACTCCCACGGACATTTGCAAACAGTGTCGTTGTTGTGCCCCTGAGCCTATTACTTTTCGTTTGCGGATTGCTCCTCACTATAACATGCGTTTACATAACTTTGACTGTGTCTGGGGTGCGTAGAATACTCTGTTGTCCCCCTATTGATTTGTAGTGTCATGGCTTATATCAGATGCACGCACAGTCGGTCGATGTGCAGCGGTGTTCAGAAGTGTATGCTGACTACTGTATCTATGTGCATGTTGGTGGGTTATGCTGGGGACACCCTCGTAGCGATGGGTGTACGCTGGATCTGATGCACACCCTGTATGTGGTAGTGTGCGCTCTGGTTTGTTTATGTGCAGAGCATAGACTAGTCTATATTATAAGGCGCAGCATATGCATGTGTAGGTATATGTACACTTTGTTCTATACTCGTATCTGATGAGTGCTCTCAAGTCAATGCATTTATATGTGAATTTCATCCACATTATCACATACATGCCCCAATATTCTGGTTTTTAAACGATACTCTCTGGCGCCTCACATACCTGTAGGGAGGTATGTACACTATCAACTGGCTTAATCCTGTTTTCTAAACGCTACTTTTTGGTATCACTTATTATTTGTAGGGTGGTATGCACTATGTTGGCTACGCTCCTCTGAGTGCGGCGGTAGCAAATGCCGGTGGCTTGGGTTTGATTACTGCTTTAACACAACCCACACCCGAGAAACTACGTGAGGAGATCCAAAAAGCAAAGTCTCTACTAAAGCCCAATTGTCCAGGAAAGGTATGTAGAGGGGTCGTTGGCATACGTATGTGTATGTCCATGCATGGTAGAATGTACTGTATGTATAGGCGCGCTTCGAAGTTGCATGTATTCAATTCAACTATGCGGCAACGTGTGATTGAGTCATGGTATAGAATAGTTTGTTTCTGCGTTGTCATGCATGTAGCGGCATGATGTACGTGTCACAACACCACTAACCCCGAACATCCGTCACATTCAGGTGGGAGTCAACTTGACCATCTTACCTATGCTCAGCAAAGTACCGTTCGAGGACTACGTGAATGTGATCATCGATGAGAAGGTATGAGAGGTAGATGCACTCATTTGGTTCTGCAGGAACGTTAGAACAAGTTGTAGTTGTGTTCCATATGGCGTTGTGTATCTGTCTGTGTCTGAGCGAGCTACACTTTTAAGACTATGCCAGTGTGTGTTAGTGTGTGCTAATTCATCGTCACAATTGACTCAGACATGTAACAGTATATATGCACTCTCCGTTGGAAGGGTTATATATATATATATCTATATATATACATATATACACATGTCTTGATATGTCTAAATGTCTACTTGTACTCATAAGCATAACCTCGCATAATTCACAAACGTTATTACTGCACAGATTGAGATTGTAGAGACTGCCGGTCGGCCCCCTGCGGAATATATCACCATGTTCAAAAAGCACGATATCAAAATCATCCACAAGTGCATTTCCACTCGACATGCAATTTCGGCTGTGAAGATGGGTGCTGATGCCATTTCCCTGGACGGCTTCGAATGTGCTGGGCACCCAGGAGAGGTGTGTGTATGTAGGTAGGCTTAACGGGTAGTGTGTATAGGTGGAGACTCCTCGCAAGAGTGCAGGTTAATGTTTTTATACACCAGTAAGTCGGACATGTACCACAAACGCCTGTGGTCTTTGTACCGTTGTATGTCTTGTTATTCCGTATGGTCGAGTAGAAGTGCATGCACGGAATAGTAACACATGTAGAAGTCTGTATCAACTGAGCATATATACACCCCCATTCAAGCATATCTGGGCGGTATCAAGTAGTTTGCGGTCATATGTCCGTAGTTCTTAGCCTTGCTAACCCCATGCGATACTTGTGATAAAAACTTTGGCACGTCACCTGTCATACCCTCGTGGCATTACTCTTCACTGTCTTCTTTTCTCATCTCATCTCACGCGAGCTTTGCATTGCTCACCTTGGCATTGGCGTCCACCCAGGCGTACACATACGTGCTCTATTTTTCATCTTGCACGTTTCCCTAGACCACCCCAGCGGACATGTCCACCTACTCAACGTACTCTTCTCATCCGCTTACCCTCATTTCGTCATCACGCTTCGGTCCCATATATGTTCTATATCAGTCTATTCTGCTGTCTTGCCTATTTCGCACGAGTTTTAAATCTCTTCTCTCGCCTTATAAAACCACCCAGGAGGATACAGGTAACTATATCCTGCAAGCCATGGGCGCGCGCGAGCTCAACGTACCCTTTGTCACATCCGGTGGTGTCGGAAATGGACGTCAACTGGCTGCTTCGCTGGCTTTGGGTGCATCTGGAGTTAATATGGGCACACGATTCATGGCTACCGTCGAGGGTATGTTTGGGGATATACTCGTACATATATTTATATTTTTAGGATATATTAGACGTTATTATTCGCTTTATATATATATATACATATACTATTGTAGGCGCTTGTATGTTTTTCACCTAGCTAATCATGCTATTCTTACCGCCTACAGCGCCAATCCACGATAGCATCAAGCAGGCGTTGGTCAATGGATCGAACAACGACACCACACTGGTGATGCGAAGCCTCCGCAACACCGAGCGAGTATTCAAGTATGTAATCGTGGATAGATGTTTTTATACTTGGATGTGTGTATGTGCGTATTCAAGTATAACTACAGGTATCCTTTGATCTATTAAAGGATCCATGGATACATGTGTAGGTATACCGAGTATCTCTTGTGTCTTTAAATTGAGACCGCGCTTTAATTTTTGAATCACCCTTTCTTTCAATTCTTATTGGGATCCGTCGCGTATGGAAACTTATATACTGGCACGCAGTTCTAGGGTTCTTGGGTTCTAACTCTGAAACCCAATCCTGGTTGTTATGTGTCGCAAATAACGATAGTAAGCTCGTATGTAGGGACACTCATTTTGCTCGACTCGTAACTCACTATCCCGTGCCATTTCACAGGAACAAAACTGTGACAGAGGTACAGAAGATCGAGGCAGAGCACCCGGGCAAGATTGAGAAGATTATTCATCTGGTATGTGATTCTAGTGGTCAATTTCGTATATATATGTCTATAAAAAAAGGCTATGTCAGCTGTTAACCCCAACCCATACTCACAGCCTTTTCTAACCCAAGGGTTCTGCGCTTAGGACTCTTTTAAGAGATGCTTCTATATTGGTTATATCTATGCATGTCTCGAGTTATCTCTAAACAATTGGCACGTATTTGTTGGGCGGGGGCAGTTGGGAGGGATCAACTGCTGAGACCAACACGCATGTAGAATCATATCACAACTCACCCCAAACCCAAAACCACCTTGTCTCAAACAGGTGAAGGGTGACAACTACCGCAAGAGTTTCCAAGAGACTGGAGATACAGAGTCGTCTGTGTGGTCGTGTGGACCCGTAATGGCGTTGATTGATGACGTGCCCACCTGTGACAAGCTGATCAATGATATGGTGTCTGATGCCGAGAAAATCATTCGCGATTTACAGTCTGTGGTGGTTGAGCAATAGATAGATATAGATGGTGTAAGAAATGGTACCACTCAGTATGACGGAGATGTAAATAAATAAGTAAGAGTGAAATCCGTGTCTGTCATAGTCTTTCAAATGTTATGTAAGCTTGCGCATGGGTGGCTAACCAAGTGTTGTGGCAACTGCTGCCGAGACCACCATCGGCGAAATACAGTCCGCGGTGGTTAAGGATTCACTCCTCGAGAGAAAGAGTGCGTGTTTATAATGTTTTGTGTTTGTAGTGGCATTGATCGATGAGGTGACCACTTGTGAGACGCAGATCAATGACAGGGTGACTGATGCTTTGAGACCACCAAGTCCGTAGGGATCGAAAGGATGACTTCTATGAGTTTGCGTGCAATAGAGTGTGTATGATATTGTATTTCCATACTCTGCAGTATGACGAATGGTTCCATGTGTCTGGTAATTGGCATGGCGTTAATAGATGACGTCCACATATGTGCACGGTTCGACTATCGTCAGAAAACTACAGTCCGTGGCGACCACAATTGGTTCTATACTGAGCGTCCAATGAAGAGTGCATAGTTGAAGTATGTATTGGATTTATGTCGAAGTAACAAGTACTGGCGTTTGCACAGAAGTACATTTAGAAGAAACTATACATTCCCTTAGAATTAACTTGGATATATGGTTCGTGCCATCGAAACAAATACTACCATGCCACGAAGAATATTCCATCACTTGTGCATCCGTCAAATAAATCAAGAGACGTGCGTGCAAAGTCTATCTAGCAAACACACATATATACACACACACACATAAATATATATATATATAATATATATACTATATATATATAAGCATCTTCACAATGAACAACTTTATGAACAAGCATATATATATATAGAATATAAGGCACACGTGGGTGCAGATCCATGATGCACACGCTGTACCTATGGTCGCGTGATTTATAAACATGCGAGCAAGGCAAGCAATACTATCGCACGCACGCACACACGACGCTCGACAGTACAATGGTAAGGTAAATTCAGCGAGAACTACAATAGTAGGTGTGCTCCAAGTCTCCCATATTGGTAGATACATATAACACCGACTCGTAAATGGATTATGCCGATGTACTCTGAAGTCCATAACTCAACAGCAATCATAGCTGCATGCGCCGTGCGGTACATCTCCATCTGAATGCAATTTGTTTCCGCCAATATCCTTTGTGTATTTGTGCCATCCTATCACGTTAGACATTTCTGGCACTGATGATAATTATACACAATATGTGTATAAATGTATATACATATATACATATATATATATATGTATATATATATATATATATATATACATATATATATGTATATGTAGATATTA